ACAAGTCCGATTGCTTTGATATTACATATATAGGTACTACATGTGGACCTCTCTCAGATTTGTTCATTTTGTGATGATGTCTTCAATTCTCTAATTTTGGTGAATATTTTTGTAATTTTTGGTAAAAAGTGATATTTTCGACTTCTTGTTAAAAACCAATAGTTCAATTGCTTTGATATTACATATTTATATACTACATGTAGACCTTTCTCAGATTTGTTCATTTCGTGATGATATCTTGGATTCTATAATTTTGGTGAATATTTTTGTCATATTTGGTAAAAAGTGATATTTTCGACTTCTTGTTAAAAACCAAAAGTTCAATTGCTTTGATATTACATATATAGATACTACACGTAGACCTTTCTCAGATTTGTTCATTTCGTGATGATATCTTCAATTCTCTAATTTTGGTGAATATTTTAGTCATTTTTGGTAGAAAGTGATATTTTCGACTTCTTGTTAAAAACTGTAAGTCCGATTGCTTTGATACTATACATATTGTTCATTTTCTGATGATGTCTTCAGTTCTTTAATTGAAATGTGCATTTCTAACAGCGGAGCTATCTCAGCCGATAGGCTGCTTGTTCAAATTCACTTTCACTGATTTTGTTTCAATGTTGTCCTTCAGTTAAATTTAACTGACTGATGTTAATACATGTCATCGATCACTCAAGCTAATTTTATTGAAACATACATGATATGAACAATATAGACAGTGTTTTATTTTTTGATTTTAATTAATGTCATGTTTAATATGAATTTGTCCTTAATTGTTCCATTTTCCATTATTTTGTTAATCCAACCAAATACAAACACAAACAGGACTGTTTTGCATTTATATTTTGGTAGCATTTGTGTCAGGCAAAAAAAAATTATTAAAAAAAAATAACCAACCAGACTGCCATGATATAATTTTGTGGAGTGGTAGCTGGATTGTGCATGTTAAATGTGGGTCCCATACCACACATAGCAACATTATTACATGTGAGTCAAATTCATTGCTTATTTCTTCACAATTCAAATGCATATGACCATACTGAATAACATGTTTGTTCATATCCTATTTAGTATGCAAGTCATGAATCTATGTTAATAATATCTTTCATTTTGGTTCACAGTTGTATATATAATGATGGCACAGCAAAGAGTGTGTGTGATTGGAGCTGGTGTGATAGGTTTATCATGTGCAGTTAATATCATAGAAACCATATCCAATGTGGATGTAACAATAGTATCTCATTTGTTCTCACCAAACACAACTTCTGATGTAGCTGCTGCCATTTTTGGATTGAAGCCTTTGGTATTTGGCGATACTTCTCCATCATTACAGAAGTAAGAAATATATAATTTTTTTTTAAAAATGCATGCATTTTTAAATGGTGCAGTGTTGATATTAATGTAGATCTGATAACTCATGAAGCTTGTATGTTCTTGTATTTTCACACATTAGGGTTCCAAAGTTCTCTATACTGCTAGTATATGGTCATTTGAATAACTGTGTCACACCTTATTAATGAAATTACTAGTATTTTCTTTTGTAAATTAGAACTTTTTCAGCCTTTTCAGTGTGTTTACGAAAAAACATTATTATTAGCTATCAAGCAATATTTTAAAACTTGTTTAACCAATAAGAATAGAACAACACCAGAGCTTTCTAATAACAAAAACAGGCATAGTAAAATTTGTGTGGTGTTTCACCACAACATGGCAGTGTGGAGATACTTTTGAATACTAGCCATCAGGAACTCTGGGAAAGAGAATGTTAGTACTGTAAAATACTTTATTTTTGTTTGGAATTAATTGGAATTTATTTTCACTGAAGGAATGATTCAGTGAAAATAAAGTCCAGCAAATAAAACTTATTCCCTATACATGTATTTTACATACAAAAATCAGTGAAAAAAATTCCATACAACCCACCCAAAAAGTCTTTTCAGTGAAAATGAAATGAAATGAAATGCAGAGTGGTAGATTTCTAGACTCCTATGATGATGGTGCATTTTTTTCCTATGTAGAAATTGGTTTTTGACAACGTCACATCATATGGAATCCATTTTGAAGACTCAAGAAGCAAGTGAAGCAGGCGTGAATGTGATCTCTGGTTATTATTTACATAATGAAAAGAACAATGACAAAGTAAGAATGTGACTTGTGATATGTAATTAGCTGAACATTCAATATAGTACATACAAATGACAAATATAAGCAAAATTATAAGCTAAACTTGCTTGTTAGTCCCTGTTGAATAAAGTCTGAAACTGTCACCTTTGTTTCTTCTGTGTGTGAAAAAGTGCCAACTACTAATTTTTTTTGACATAGTGGACTATATGTTTTCTTTAGGTATTGGATTTCTATCAAACTTAATTGATTGGCATCCCACAGTGTGTCAACAGTTTGTCAGGATTTCGTTGGTTACTAGTATATAATTTTATTCAAACTTGGTAAGAACACATGATATGGGTCACTGATGCCTGTCAGTTTGTTTTGTGATTTAATTTAAATTGGCTGACTGGTGGCCATGTTGGTTTTATTTTAATGTGTTACCGGGTAACTATATTTTGAGATGGACCTTGGCTATAGATTTTATTTAAACTACATAATGTGATTGATGGAGAGCATGGTATCCTGTGATCTGATTGATGGAGAGCATGGTATCCTGTGATCTGATTGGTGAATAGCATGGTATCCTGTGATCTGATTGGTGGAAACACTTCAGCCATGCTAGAATGTAATATTACATAGCTTTCACCATTGCATTTTCTTTCGTCAGAAATTACCATGGAGAGATATTGCACATGGTAGCATCAGATCAATGACAAACAGTGAGTTGAATCTCTACCCAGGATACAGGTATCTATTATTATATGCATGGTTCTGATTGGCTAATATAACAAACAAGTGATGCATATTCATGATATCACCTTATCAGCCCCTATTACAGTTTCCACGTATCTGTGAGTTATAATTGGTGAGTTGATATTTTTGAAGTGTCAAAGTTTTCATCACATGAAGCCTCAACTCGGTGGATAAAAAAAAAACACTAAACAAAATAATTGGCAAGACCTATATAACTTATAATAAATTGTTTTTTGCTGACTCAACTAATGTTAAAAGTTATTTATCTTTTTTTTTTAAATATTTAGCAATGGTTTGTCATTCTCAATGTTGATGTGTGAGACCAGGAAATACCTACCATGGTTGATGAAAAGGTGTGTCTTTTATGATCCTGGTGTTATAATGAGATAATAATTTTCTAAGGCACAAATGCTTTCTATTTTACATGAAAACAATGAAGATAAAAAGATGACCTAAAAACAAAATAGACACAAATTTTCAGTGTGTGTTGATGAAATATTCATCATTCATTCTATACTTCTCTATGACATAATGTTAAACTAACAATGCCATTGTAATGTTACATTTATAGATATAAAGACCATGGAGGAAAAGTAATAAAACAGCACATTGGCAAATTGATTGAGGTCAGTCTTTTTTCCTTCAAATAAATATGCACTAAATATTGTGGTGTGTCATTAGGGCCATAATTTAAACCATAACACATTAAAATATGACAATTTAAATTAAAATATCAGCAGTTAAATTAAAAAAATGTGCAATTTTATTCATAATCTAAAAAACAGATGTTAAATATGAGAAATTAAATTTAAAATGCATAGTTTGAACATAAATGGTCAAGTTATTGCGATGGTTTGAACATTGTAAATTTGAACATAGCAAGTTGGTGGCACTCACCTGCACATATATGCATATAGAACCTTTGACCTGATACCAAAAATAAATGGCTGAACAATTTTTTGGTTCTTCTGTGTAAATCTTTGGTATTATCAGGCTATATTGCCATTTTGCATACAGCTTGCATACACGATGCTTCATGTAACATCGATAAAATCAACTTTCGGCTAAAAGTATCAGACATTTGTGTACCCAGCCAGGTTTCACATCCGTGCTCGAGCATATATGCCTCTGCGATATATGTATGTAAAACCCTCCTCAAACTTTGAGGTAGGTGAGGTGAATTTGCATGACAAATTTGAACTACTATGTGTGAACATTATTGGAACATGAGGCAAAATCAGCTTAGTAATGAGGGGACAACACATAGGCAAACATTTATAAAGACAGAAAGACTAACAGAACATTACATTAGACCAAAATTTCTTCATGCTGTTAAAAAATCCAGTTTGTCATGATCAAGTTCAATGCAACATGTGTATTGAAGGGTCTAGCTATGGTTCTGTTGCTCATCAGTGCGATAGACAACTGATTTATTTTTATTATTTCTTTTCAATTATTTTTAAGGAGTTGACCATTAGAAACTATGTGAGCAATGACAGAATTTGGAAACAATAAATTGCACAGAAAAAAATCCGGCGGGGATAAATAACAAACAAAAAATGCACACCTAAATCTTAGAGAAAAAAGTATTCCACATAGTGTATAAGAAACTGTAGTACCGATAAATTCATCAGGGAAATAAAAAAATGGCAAAAAACTAAGTGAAGGAAACAATAATTTGCGCAGTTTTTCTGACATTGCCTCTTCCAGAGTTTCTAATGATCCATGTACCTCTTATTAAATGAATATGATGACTATGGCTGTGATGGTTTCATATAGCCCAATTAGTCACAAGTACTCTGTCAAAGCGAGGTTATTTTGCACATCAGCCAAGGAATGAACCGCAGTTGTAGGTAAAACTTTGATACAACTATATCTCAATGTGATTGGTCAACAAAAGTATGTGGTGTTGCCTCTCACATTCGCACATTGCAAGGTGTTCAATATCTTATCTAATTTTGCTACATTCAAGCTAAGGCGATATAAACGATACAATAACAGTAATAAATAGCAGCGATGACGGGTTTCGAGCCTGCGTGGCTCATGGCAAATTGCACTTTCACAGAAGTTCCTGGACCATCAGAAAGTGGTGCAATTGAGCACTTCCGATTTGTGTTCTACCTAAGATGGCGGCCAGGTCATGTGACCTACATAGCTGGTTTTTGGGTATGCTCCACAACTCATGGCCCTTTAACAGCATGCAAAATAGCAAATCAATCGCAGCATTATTTTTCAAGTTACAAATAATAATATTAAACATAGCAATTACAATAGGGTTTCGCCCCATAGGGCTCGAAACCCTAATAATAATAGTAAACTGTTCCATATATATTAACGACAAGCTCCAAGTGAGTTTGGAGTGTCGTTTCCAAGCGCCCTTTAGAGTTAAAATCCATGATACAAACCACAGACCAAATGCAATGTAAAAGGATGCTTGATACTAGTGGATGGTAGTAATATGTCGATACGAGGCAAATGTAGTTTCCAAGTGTATTTTACAAATATCAGAGTGGTTTTCCAAATATTTCTAAAAAACTTGTTCTAAAGCATGACATCATTTTATTAAAAAAAATTAAGTCACTTCGGCCAATTTGAAACTGATAAAAAATTATGGGGCAGTAATTTCAGGCACAGGTAACTGTGAAGAAACGTCGTTCGCGAGTGTCACTTGAATGGTATACTCCATTGTGTCAGCACATTTTAATACAAAATGGTCCAACTGGCCGTGACTTTCAATGTGGAGAAAATAAACTGGCATAATGTACACGGTACAGTCAGCCATCATGGTGACTCATCACAGTTACTATCATTCTCATTTGCATGTTATCTTCAGAAGAGCTCCACCTATGCGCTATGTTTAAAAGAGTGACACCTAAGTGATATGTTCAAATCAACTAAGTTAAAACTTTTGAAATAAGAATAAACAGAATGGTGATAAATATTTAACGTTCATTTATCATATGATCATTTATCATGATGCGATCATGGAATCCAAAAAATGAATTTATGTGCATATGAGATATTGTGCAAAAATGCCACTGTGGTGATAAATTTGGATTCCTATATTGTTTATATCTACTCCTTCTGCAGTATTATTTTACCATGCAAATATGAACTCTGTTGGCTGATTGTCAATCTTTTCACCCAAAGTGGCACTAATTTCCTGCAGATTCACAATTCAAATTATTCTATGGTAATTGGTCAACTATTACAGAGGGCTCTCTCGATTCAAGTACGGCTACAAGATCAATTTGCCAGGCACCCCTCAATTGACATCCGGTCAGGCTGAACATGATCCTACAAGAAGTGAAAGACTTGTTGACAAAGAGCACAGTCACAGTGCTGTCCAACAATTTCCCATCCCCAGTATCTCATAACATTTTGTTGAAAAAAAAGATGAAGGGAATGAAGGTGACCTAAGTCAACTGAGTCATTACTTCCCAACCTGTCATCAGTATCGTTGTGTACTAAAGTAAAAGGGAAGTTTAGCAGCAGAGTTTTCAACATGTCTAGATTTCACAAACATTAAACAAAATAATCAAAACCCATTTCCTGGTGTTTTTTTGATAAACAGTGATTATTAGTGAACAGGACACAGTGTGATTGATTCTCATTTGCATAATAAAATCACTTTGAATTCCCATTCTGACACTGAACTTACAGCTCCACAATGCAACCTCTATGTCATTGGTAGATAAGAGATTAGTGTTTAACAATATAGCCAGTCCCTGACACAAGACCACCTTATGGTTTTACGAGTACAAATGGAGATGGTTCTGTTAATGGTACTCTATCCAAACCATCTGTGCTATACTCATAGTGGATTTGTTTTCACAAAAAAGATTATTTTCCCACGGCGATCAGAGGAAACAGGTTTAGTTTAGAGCCATTGTTCATGCATACACTGGTGTAGAACTAAGAAAATTGACAGACAGTGTCACCGATTATATTTCTATTGGAAACATCAACCAACCAGTCGCTTCCTAAGAGCCGGTAGTTTGGGGCATTAACCTAGTCCTAGACTACTTCCTTAGACAAGACAGTGTTCTTGCTTGATATTCTAGCCTTTGGCCAAAGATGGGGTTCTCTTTAATCTTTTTTCTGAATGACCTTCAAAATGTTTTTTGAGAAATGTGAATTAGCAAAACTGGACAAACAATCAATTTATAGTTTGTTATATACAGATGATCTAGTGTTAAAATCAGAAGTAGGATTACATAACTGCTCAATAATTTATTCTCATACTGTGAAAAATTTAACCTGAACACATTAAAAACAAAAGCCTAGTATTCAATAAAAATGGTAGATTATAAAACTTAAATACAGCTTCAATTACAAAACATTTTTGAACATGTAATTAAACCTTCATTAACTATTCAGGGAAAAACATAGTTGAACTCTGGTGACCTTGCCCTTTGTTAAATAATATAATTCCCTTTATCATAGTTTGTTTCAATATAAATATGCATTGTCATAATTAATTTTGAATACAAACATGTTTTGGGGTTGAACCAACAGTGGGGAATCAGTCTACCGAATGTCCTTAAAAGATGTAAATATCTTACAAAAACATGCCTTATTTGTTTAATTATTTTAAGGAACATAATTTCCAGCTTTATTCAAAGTAATTCAGATATTTTAGAATAAAAACAAATGTCTCATTGCAAAAAAAAAGTGCTGCATTTAGATGTGAATAGATTCATAAAACATGCAAGATAACAGAAAAATTTAGCTGGCTTTAGTCCAAGTATTTTGTACAGGTGTCTGTCAAA